CTTTTGTTTTGTTTATGTTGCCTGTAAGTAGGCAATAGTCAATTCGCTTCCATTCTTCTTACCCTCTCCCCTTCTTCCTCACCTCTAAGGTGCTTGAGCTTGAGCCGGCTGCACCCTTCAAGTCACCCTGAGATAACTACACTGGGTACACTAGGTTTATCTTTAGTCATTATGAACACTGTGATCTTCAAAGTCCCTTCTATCTCTCCCACGTTTATCCCAACCTCCTATAATGAGGCACATCATTCGCCACCTAGGAACTGTCTTAGAAAACTGTGCCTACAGGTACATAAGCTATTTAGTGAAAGCACAAATGGACTAGGAGTCAAACCTATATTCTCGTCCCTGTGTTCCAACACCTCCTTGCTTAACCTGGAAATGGTGTTTTTTTCTCACTGGAGTTGAATTTCTTCCTATACAATGAGCATAGTTCAATTAAATAAACTCTTAATCTCTTTTATATCTATGCAAACAGTTATGTTGATTTTAAAATAAACTTTTTTTCAGCAAATATAGATTCATCCTGCTTGGGATGGAGTCTAGAAGGCATGGGAATGTTCTAGGAACACAAGCTTACTGAATAACTGAAAGAGGGGAAGGAAAGAGAATCAGAGACGGGCCTGCCACTGAGGAAGAGGAAAAGTCTGAGGACGAGTTTCACAGTTTCACGTATAGCTGGCCCTGTCTGCCTTCCACGCAGACTGAGAAACATAAACTGTGGACATGTTACTATTTTGGTGATATAATGAAAATACTCTATTGCACAGCATCACTGCTTCATATCATTTGTCAACTTATATTTGTATATATGGTCAACTGTACTATAAGGTGTTTGGTTCTCAACTTACACATTAATTTAAATATCACACTACTGTCTAAATGCCATCTTATTTATTCCTTAAAGGAGATTTCGACCAGGTAAATGATAAAAGCAGAAGGAAAAAAAAAAAATATATAAGTTGAAAATAAGCAGTCCTCAAATAGAGAACTAGAACCAAGGATGGAGGAAGGGAGGGAGTGTTCCATAATCATAGGTGGCTTTTAAAAAACAAAACAGGACCTCCCCAGTGGTGCAGTGGTTGAGCGCTGGACTGCGAAGCTGCCTGCAGCCTCTGCAGCGCAGGTTCGATCCCCCGCCGCCAGGCAAGGGTCCCCATGGTGCGCAGACCTCTCCTGCTGCCCGCTGCTCTCCTCAGCAGTGTATTGTCAGTCGGTCTGCTCTGCTCCCTGCTCCAGCTCTGGTGAATTCTCTCACCCTCCCGCGCTTCTGACTGTACCCAGTGCTTGTATAAATAAATAAATAAAATCTTTAAAAAAAAAAAAAAAAAAAGACCTGTCTTTCCCACATCCAGAAAACTAAGGAAAAAACAAAAAACAAAAAAGAGCTAAAAGCAAGTTAAGTAGGACATGGCAAACAAGGCATAAATTTGACCCTGTGAACAACCAAAAGCCATAAGAGATTTTTAAAAGAGTGAGTCTTTTGACCAAATCTGTGTTTCTGAAGGATAACTGATGGCAGAGTACCTACAATATTTACAAAACAGAGCATATTCTTACCTAGGTTGTATTTCACTACAAAATACTAATATAAAATTAGAATAAAACACTAATTTGAAATCATAAAATAAATTTCACAAAGACCACAGTATTCTTAGAGAAATGAACAGTAAGGTATGCCTTGCAAATTCCTTAGGGAAATAAATAATCACCTAAACTTTAAAATCTTTTTTTAAGTCTTCACACTACATGTGTATGTATACTTTTTTTCAAATAAAATTAACACTTTAAATTATATTTATGGTCCTTAAGGCCACAGAATTTTAAAATATTTACCTAACCATTTAGAAAACACTTAGCATTTTCTGTATAAAAAAATATCTCACAGGCTAAGTTACACCTTTCAAAACCTCATTTACCTAGGCTATTTACCTAGCCTATTATATACAAAATAATCTGGATGAAAAGCTGAAAACTACATTGTAGAATAGACAATTAAAATGGTATAGACAAGTAGTTTGTTAAGTTCTGAGTCAAACTTCAATGTAGAGAACAGGTTTTTATAATGTCCTATTAGTTTCATCTACCTCCTGATAAATTGCTAAATTCTAGTCAAGCTTCTATGTAATAGACAACAGATTTTTATAACTTCCTATTAGTCTCATCTGTCTCCATATACTACAAACTTAGTGCCTCTTTCCATTCCACCAAGACAGAACATAGTCAACAGTAACCAGATTTAAAATTTAAATCCCTTACACTCTTTGCTAAGAAAAAAAAAAAATAGTTAAGAATAGACACATACATAGCATTGACAGCAAATAAGATAAATCTAATTACGAAAATCAAATATTTTACAAACATATACCATTAATTTTCAACACAGAGCCTAGCATAATACCCCAAGAGTTAAGAATTACGTTAGATGTTAATAAAAATGTTTAAACCCTTACAGAAAGTAAAGTGTAATAATTGTGTTATCGATCCAAAAATGAATATTTCTCTCTACTACAAAAATACAAAATATTTGCTTATCTTTTCCAGTTATTACACCTTAAAAAATTAAAGGCCAGCAGTGTCAACATCACAGATAAGTAAATCTACAAGAACTACTAACTTGTAATGTTTTATTTATACTTCACAAAAAGTGTAAACAAACTAAAAGAAGTAAAGTCTAAATCTGGAAGCTATCATAGAATTCATCTACTGGGATACCCTGATTCGACACAATATGGACACTCAGAAACATTGACTTTTCCAAGATTACAGAGTAAAACCAAGACTTTTACCCTCGAACTGCTGCCTATGAACCCAGAGCATTTCCCCCTATATCAAGTTCTATCCACAATCTTTTTGTGCTCCTTCACTTTCTGAAACAAGAAAGTGATCTTACAATGTGATAGACAAAACAGAGCACTTCCATAAAAGTGCCAGTTTCCTCTCAATTTCTTTTAATATAAAATACATGCAAACAAAAACCACAGATCCATGGTTAAACTTCAGGAACATGAATAAGTAGAAAGTATTATTATAATCACTGTTAAATTAAAAGTATCTAGTAACTTCTAGTAATACAAAAATAGCATGACACTGATCATTAGGTAGCCATTCTAAAACCTTGAACTATTATATGTTTAAGACAATCAAAATGCTCCTATTCATAGTTGAATGTAAATAAGAGTTTTCTCCACTAGGAAAATACGCCCCTTTCAAAAGTACAAATTTTATTTTCCTCTAATACAACTAATAAAAAGATAGCTAGCGTAACAACACTGCATCTAGTTAAAGGTTGTGATGGAAAGAGCATCAGACTAGGATTAAGACCAGGAATTTTCAATTTACAAGGCAACAGTCATAACTGACTACACAACATTCAATTAAAATATGTTAAACTATAGTGCCGTGAAGTTCAGGAAAACTGTCCCAAATGCGATAAAACTGCTAAGATGTTTTTCCAGCATTAAGAAATGCAATCTCTTTACACAGAGTCAATCATGAAATGCTATTCTAATCTATGAAAATAGCTGATACTACTTTGCTCCATAGTGAATGCTTTCAAAGCAATCTTTCTCCTGATACATGTTTTTCTAAGTACTGTCTATTAGCAGTAGCAGCAGACTGAGAAAACAAAAGACTTACCACTTTTGAACAGTTTTTCAAGCATGTGGCCAAATGACTAGAGACCACAAAACAGCTACTCAAAACACTTTTCAGGAAGCAAAGTGCTGTCTCAGTGGAGCATTATGCAGCAACGTTAAGCATTTTGTAGATTATTTGAAGAGAAGGGGAAAAATAAGGGAGCCTCAGACGTAAAAGAAACTTTTCTTTCAAATATACTTAGGGGGTCCCAGTGTAAAACATCGTGTTATTCAGAAAGTTTGAAAACCAAGAGAATATACATAGACTACTACTCTCAAACAAAACCTCTACCTTCATTCACCCTTCTAGCTGCTCAGACTACAGCACTGAAAGCTGAAACTTCTACGTTCAAATCCCAATGCTTCCGCTTACTAGAGGTGTGAAGTTGGGTGATCTCTATTAGCTTTAATTTGCTCATCCCTAAATTGAAGTTAATGTCATGCACCATACAGGGGTTTGTAAGGACTGAAGACAATATACACAAAGTGTTTTGCATTGAGTAAATGTTCAATGAATAGTAGTTATTGAGTTTCTGGGTGATGCAGAACAGGTAACATTTGCTAGGCTATATAAAGGTACAAACTCATCCCCTGAGGATGATTTCAATTTCTTAAAAACAAAAACATACAAATCTACAGGGAGAAATGGAAATGCTTTTGGTAACTTTCCAAACATTACCAAGTTTAAAGGTTAAATTATTACAACATTCTCCTAATTATGCAACAAATACACAAGACATGAGTTAGTCTGTAAAACACTGTATTAGCCTATATGGCTAAAATTCGGGGCGGGGGGTGGCGGTGAGAGAAGAGAAACCTCTTAAAAATTACTTCCAAAAGTCTTCTCATCTTAATTAGCAAGTCTCAGTTCCAACGCTGATCATTGTGAGAGCTCAGAAACCTCCTTTCAACTACCAAAAATAATGAAACCACACTGATTAAAATTCATATACACAGTCACTCATTCTAATAGTTGTATGTTATCTTTGGGGAGACATCAGCATTACCAAGGCAAGAGATAAGTGGCACCAAAGAGAACCCCATCAGAGTATGCCCGCGTGGGAGCAGTCACTCTATCAATATTAAATCGCAAACTAAGTTCGCATCTGAGAACTCGTGTGTTGCACAAAGTCTTTTAAAGGTGCAATATGATTAGCCTATTTCATTTCTAGTAAAGATAAAGGACAGTGCACTCTTCTTTAAAAAAAAAAAAAAAAGGCTTCTTGTACTTAGGCGTTCTTTCCAGAATAAAACTTTTTTTCACCCTGGAAATTAACATGCTTTCAAGTATGCCAATTCAACTGGGGGCTTGAAGCCATAAAACCGCGCTCGCTTCGCTACAAACCTTGCTTTCTGGCGACCTACCTGCTCTCTGGAAATGCAAGGCAGCGAAGGTCTCCTGAACATTTTGCAACCTCCAGAGTAACTGGCTGAACTTTCTCCGAACGACACGCAGCTCGACCTCCTGCGGGGTCTGATCACAGGCACTTTTTCCTCCCCGGCTGCGGACAGCCGAGGATGATGAGGCGCTTCCCTGAGGTGAAAGAAGTGATCCAACCCCAGGGCCAGCAGGCAGCCGGCGCCCCCGACCAGGCAGGAGAGCAGCGGCCGGAGGGCAGCGGGCAGCGCCCCGAGGCTGGTGAAGGAGACCCACCAGACGAAGCTGGAGAAGAGCAGCACCACGGAGCTGTGCTGGAGCCTCCCGGGCCACGCGAGCATCAGCAAGCCCACGAGGCTCAGCACCAAGAACAACCTGCCCGCCACCGCCGTGGGCGAAGGGGGCGCGGGGGCCCCGGCGCGTCCGTCCCCCTCGGGCCAGGACCACCACGGCCACACCAACAGGTCCCCCAGGTAACAGCAGACGGGCAGCGCCAGGAGCCACCAGGAGTCGCCGCCGCCGCCCCGGCCCGGCCCGGGGCCCCGCGGGGTCCGGGCGAGGACGCAGGTGAGGAAGAAGAAGGCACAGGCGATGCTGAAGAGCGGGCTGAGGCTGTGCGAGCAGACGCGCAGCAGGGTCCGCAGCGCGGCGGCCCGTGCAGCCCAGCCCTCGCGCCCCGAGGCGAGCAGCAGGGCGAGGACAAAGGCGGCCAGGGCGCCCAGCAAGAGGCGCGCCCGGGAACAGGGGGAGCCGCGGCACGGCTGCCGGGGGAGGCCGGCGGCGGCAGCAGCAGCTCCACGTTGCAGAAGCGGCAGAGGTGAAAGAAGAAGCCGCGCGGCGGGTCCTGCCGCAGGGGGCTCACGCAGCTCTTCACGTAGCCGTTCCGCAGGCTCTCGGGGGGCGAGGCGGCCCGTCCGGCGGCGGCGGGCACCGCATGGCTTTGGCGTCTCGCTCGTCCCTCCTCATGGCCGGGACCCGGGGGGCCGCGGGACACAGCTCGCCCCGCGCGGGGCGCCGCGGCCGGACGCGCTCGCTCGGCCCCTGCCCCGGCGTTCCCGGGGCCCCCGCCTCCGCGGCGCGTCAGGGCTGTGCCCGGCGCCGCGGCCCGGGGTCCCCGCCGCGCGGACGGGGCAGCGGCAGGGTCCGCGACATGCCGGCTGCGGGGAGCGGCGGGAGGGGCTCCTTGTGCTGCGGCCGCCTCTCGGGACTGGAGACTCGGCGTCGCCTCCCAGCTCCCGCGGGCTGCAACAGTTACCTCACGGCCCCGGGCTGGTCCGTTGGGCGCGCGAGCTGAGGGCGGGCGGGCGCTCCTCCCCCGCCGCTGCCCCGGCCGGGCGCGCGCCCCGCCCGCAGCTCGCGCGCGCCCGCGCCCCGTCCCGGAGCCGCCGCGCAACCCGCCGAGGGGCGGACGCGAACCCGCGAACCCGCCGCCTGAGCGGGCCGCCCCCGGGGGCGGCCGCCCTCGCCCCCGCCGCCTTTGGGGGAGGTGAGCCGGGGCCTCTTCTTCGGATGGCAAGTCCGCCTTCCCCGGACCCCAGATGCGCAGGTTGCCTTTCGGGGTAAGTTAGACTCCCCGGGCCAGGGTCCGACAGATCTCTCTCCGCTGGAGTCTAGGGGGAGAGGGCGTCGTGGTACCCAAGAGGACGACCTGGTAGGGAAACAAGTTGAGACCGGAGGGAGGTGGCAGGTCCTGCCCCAACCTCATCCGAGTTCAGAGTGGGCCCTTGGGCTGTCCCAGCCGAGCTGTGACCCGGTGAGGACCTGCCACCACCGTGAGTCCGGCGAAGAAACCCTAATCGCTGGGGCTAGGTCACCCCTCAAGGAGGATTCTTGGGCTGTGAGCAGGGCCAGGATCCCCGCGGTGACGCCCAGGAAGGAGCATGCACGTGGAATGCTCTCTGAGAGTATCCAAGTCAATATCGTCCTCAAGAACATCTTCCTAGGCGAGGAGCTAGCATCCCGTCCTCTGCTGCTCACCCTTGCCATGCATACCCACTGGGTCACATCTTGTGTCTCCCTCCAACAAGCACAGAAAATCTGCTGTTGCAGTTCTTTCCACAGGGAAGGCTTTCCCCTGTAACAGCGGCAAGTTGTCCAGAGGGGGAGGGGAGGATCAGGTTCCCAGCTTGGATGGGCTGGCCAAGAAAGAAGCCAAATAAGATGCTATCTGTGAATTACGGGTGAAACTAGCAACACGTAGGAAACGCTGACTTGAAAGCCGGGAGAACTTTGCTTATACCAAAGGGACTGCTCTGGAATCTAACCAATCATAACTGCCTTAGAGAGTGAACTGTGTTTCCCTCCACCGAAACTCTCCCTTCAAGCTCCTGAGAGGCCTACATTTCTCAAAGAGCTAATTCCACATTTTTCCAGGGAGATGAGAAACCTTACTGTGTGGTAAATCCCACAAACAGGCCCATTTTTCACCAATTAATCTCTGCCCACAGCCCATGACCTAAAACAGACCATTTTCTTATATGGTCATCGTTCACATACATAGCAGAAATCACTAAGAAATAAGCACAAGGATGAAAAAGGACCAGAAATCCCTTTCTTTTTCTATTTCTTGGATAAAGAAAAAGGATTAAGAGTTTTAGGATCCCTTCGGCAAATGCTTGTCCTAAAAGATAAAAAATTATGGGGTCTTTTTTTTCCCCACTATAACAATTGAATTTTTTTCTAATCTCATTTCAAAAGAACTCAGCAAACAAATAGTTTATTTTTCCTATGAGGACGTGTAATGGGCATTTGCAGTAATGCTGGTGCTAGTTTTGTCATCTGCTTCTGCGCAAGCTCAGAATGTATCCATTAAGTTTCTTTCTTTGATTGGTAGTGATTGTGCATATCAATTGTAAAATGTTTGCTGAGTTCTTTTGAAATGAGATTAGAAAAAAATGCAGATTAAAGTTTTGTTGTTGCTGTTTATTTCTTTGAAGATTTATTTATGAATACAAGAGCTGGGGTGCAGGCCGGAGGTGCAGGGGTGAGAGGATTCACCAGACAGAGTGGGGAGCAGAACAGGCAAATCTACTGAAATACACTGCTGAGGAGGGGAGCAGTGGGTGAGACAGGAGAGGTCTGTTGCACCATGTGGGTCATCTCCCTGGCCGGGGATCAAACTCGTGCTGCAGTGCCTGTGGATAGCTTCATAGTGCTCACACTTAACCCCTGTGGCACCAGGGAGGCCCCATGTTGTTATTTTTTTAACCTGAAGTTGTCACCTAAGGTAGGGTGGGTATGGTTATGGAAATAGTAGTAGATTAGAAATACAGTTTAATAGATTCCCTTCCTGGTCCAGCCATTCATAGCTTGGCATTAAGCAAGTCTTATGGCTTTTACAGGTCTCATTCTTCTCAGTTATAAAGTGAATCAATTTAATTTAGATGACCTTTAAAGTCCCTTCCACTCTGATAAATCTCTGATTTCAGTTTGCCAGAAATTTATAGGCATCCGTGGGATTCGTGTTTCAGATTACCAAGAGCTGTCTTTGAATTATTTGTACCATCGCACTAAAGCAAATTCTTAGTCGTGACAAAAATAAAAGAATTTTTATCAAATGACCAACACCCAGAAAATAACAATCAAATATCCTTCCCAGTTCTCTGTTGGCTTTCTTTCAGCTGTCTTCCCAGGTTTTCATGAGACCAGAAGTCCAGCTCTTTCAATTACTTGTAATAAGAGTATACCACTCCCAGCACCTGAGAGAATTCTGAAATAAAATGTAAGGACATGACCAAAGACAGTCAGTTTACTTAACTAAAAATATGCACAAAAGGAATGAGCTAGCTATGTTTATAGCAACTCCCTTCTCTGTTTATAGTCCTTGTCAACGATTATTAGTAGGCTGCATTTCTTAGAATTCAAATTATTTAATTTTTTTTGCAAGATTTAAACATCCAATAGAATGATTTAGCTCTTATCTCTAGATTAAAGAACATATGACCATTATCTTTTGTGAAATAACCTAGAGTCACAGCATACCATTGACTTTGCTCAGTACTCTCTACCCCAGTTTCATTTTATCTGACTTTGCCCCCCTCACATCATTACCCATGAGATCTCCACTAGAATCATCCTCCCAGTTTGATAATCCATGACATGGAATCCTAGTGCTTACCGCCCAACTCCTGACATTCTGGAGCAATGCAACCCCCTGTATATTCCTCTAGTCTGAAAATGGGTACTTGCCCTTCTGCTCCAAAGACCCAGTTTCCCTATGTGCCCCAGTTTGAAGGATGCGAATTTTGGGTTTTTTTCTCTAACTTAAGTACCCACACTAATAAATTGCCAATACCCCAGTTAAGTATGGAAGAAAACCCAGCCTAGGTATTTCCAGACTCAGGGCCAAAAACACCCCTAAACATGAGTCTAGTGCCTAAGGAGCCTGTTGACGGACCTAGATGCCACTGCCTGCCTACCTTTCTAACCATACAAGTAGCAGTTGAGATGTGTCAACTGGGTTCAGCCCAGCTGTTAGAACACACACTTTTCATCTGGGCCCTCTGGTGCTCATCACTGCTGAATTAAAAATTCCTCTCTGGGCCTCTCTGGTGGCGCAAGGGGTTAAGCACTGCACTATGAAGCAATCCGCAGCCTCTGCAGTTCGATCCCCGGCTGGCCAGGGAGCAACCCACATGGCGAAGCAGACCTCTCCTGACTTGCCCGCTGCTCCCCTCAGCAGTGTACTTCAGTCTGCCTGTTGTTTCCCACTCTGTCTCTGGTGAATCCTCTCACACACACACCCCCACCCCCACATCTCTGGCCTGTTCCCCAGCTCTTGTATGCATAAATAAATAAATCTTTGAAAAAAAATAAAAATGAAAATTCCTCTCTGTGAATACCTTTGGTTTGGCATTGAAATTTCATCCAAAATAACAAGGGGTCCTCGTATAGGGCCTTCTTTCCTCCCTATTTGTCCATCTTCTGGTAAGTATGAGTCTATGTCCTTAATACCTATACCTTCAATCATTTTTAAAGAAGATGTGATTATTTCCTAACTAAAATCCAGATGTAAACAAAATCCTTTTCTAGAGCAATATTCCCAGAAATTCCCTTGCAAAACTAAATATTTTTCCATGGATCTTAGCAGCTACTCTTACTGATTACTCTGTTATATTATCTTGGAATATAGGTAGGATGTGATGATATAGGTGTTTGGGTGAGGGCTAGGACTCTGTTCAGTCAGTTTTACTGTTCCATGATGAGGAATCCCGTGACTCCTCAGTATCTGACTCCTCAGGATGATTTATGGAGCACCCTCTAAAGATTTGCTAAGAGCAGCTGAAAAGCAGTGGATCATGGTTACCAGTTCTTTTTTTTTTAAGATTTATTTATTTATACAAGCACTGGGTACAGTCAGAAGCGCGGGAGGGTGAGAGAATTCACCAGAGCCAAAGCGGGGAACAGAATAGGCAGACAGAAAAAGTACGCTGCTGAGGGGAGCAGCAGGCGGCAGGAGAGGTCTGCGTGCCATGTGGGACCCTCGCCAGGTGGCCGGGGACCGAACCAGCGCTGCAGAGGTTGCGGACAGCTTTGCAACCCAGCGCTCAACCGCTGCACCACCAGGGAGGCCTGGTTACCAGTTCTTGATGAGCTTTTTATTTATTACTGTTCCCATTCTGCACTGTCACCTCTCAAACATGGTTTTCAAACATTTTTCAATAGAAGCACCACACAAATAAAAGCTGAATGCTCTTTTGAAATGGGGTGATTGGCCCAGTACCTGACAACTGACAAGTCCTACTCTGACCTGAAACCCCTTTTTGGAAACTTTGGGGTAAAAAAAGAATGAAAGGAAACAAAGAGAAAAAGAGATTTTAAACCTCTGAAAGATTTGAATTGGATTTGGCAAAACACTTAGAACCATGTACTTTTTCTAAAATGTCATCTTTTCAGAATTCAGTAATGAGGCAGCCTTAATTTCTCAAGGATAATGACAATTTTTAATTAAAGTTTATTTTAACTTCAAAATTTCAATTTTTAAAATATAAAATTTTTAGGAGTAACCAATATATAAATCATTATCCTTCAGATGCCAAATTCCTAAAGAGCTATTCCTTAAGATACATGAAAGCCTGCAAAGTTTTTGGAAACGTTAAAATTTTGAAGTAACACCCGAAAAAACAGACTGGCTTTCCTCTGGTCTAGAAAGATCATCATTCTGCTTTCAGTGTGTGCAGGTAATTCTGTTATCTAAGCATGCTAACATACCTATTTCCCTCATCTCAGCTAAAACTCATCTCAGAATCTGAACCTCACTTCAACTCATTCATCGCAACAGGCATTTATTGAACACCCATTATATGCAGAGCACTGTATTAAATGCAGTTTAGAACATTTAAAAACTATAAAGTTCGTTAGATGCTTCTTCAGGCTGCAGCTTTATGTGGGAGATAAGGCCCATGCAGAGATTATTATAGGGAACAGTGTTTCAGAGCTATTAAAAAAAAGAAAAGAATCCTCCTTTTCCAGAGTGTCCTCAATGTATTTTCTCAGCTTATTTTCATAGTTCGTTTCTTCCTTCTCTAAGGGGTCCAGTTCTCTCCCTTGGGTATGTCTG